TTCGCGATTTTAACCCATTTTTACCCGATTCGAGATTTTAACCCTTTTTTTAGCCTATTCCATATTTTAACGATTCGATATTTTGTCCGGACACGAAATTAAATGTAATTTTCTATTATCATAAAATAAGTAATTTAGAAATTCCTTCCTTTCTTCGACAAAAAGTGCATAATAGACGGAGAATGTGAAGCAAAAATTTCTCGCAAACACAATCCGAAACCCGCAATTTTTATTTTAAAATCCGCAAACGCAATCCGCAATTGCGTGCATCCATGTTTTTAGACGAGATTCTGAACTTATTTTCTCTGCTTATTTTTATGAAAATATATTAGGCTTGGTCATATGTGATTAAAAAATGTTTTTTGGAATGTCTGACCATTATGCACTTTTTGAGGAAGAAAAGAGGAACGAAATTTAAAATAAAAAGCTCTAAAAATGGTCACTCTCAACATCCATTATTTATTTACCATGATTCCTTTAATAATTATCTCACCAATCATTGGATGGCAGTTAAACGAGCCATTTACAGGCTCTTTAAGTTTCTATAATGAACTACACTTTGCTTTTTGTGTACCAAAAGATACTGATGCAGAAAATGATTTGTTAGTTGCTATTAGCGATAAACAATGGCGCACAGATGTAAATAAACCTGATGATCCACTTTGCCATACTTGTCTTAAAGTTGATTACAACGGGAAATGGTAGAATTTTATAGAAAATATTTTTTTGTAAGTTTAATTTTAAGTATCACAGTCCCTGTCAGAGATGTCTGCTTTGAGTGTTCCGCAACACAGGCTATGAGAAGCTCGAAAGTTTGTCTGTAGGAAGCGTTCAAAATGCTTCATTAACATTTGTCAGTTGTGATGGTGTAACAGATGGGAGTGAGGATACAAAGTAAATTAAGTAATTGAAGGTGAATATGAAGAATTAAAAATTAATCCAATAAAAGATAAAGAATAAAACAACCCCAAGAAATATCAATAATTAATGTAAATTTCATAAAAATATTAACCTGATAAAACTATTCTCAATTATTATTTTTACAATAAATTCATCGAAGAAAAATCTAAAAAATTTTTGATTGAGGACATCCAAATACCTTGAATCAATGTTTTGGACTCGTTATTAAAGTGCAACAATAATAACTCTCCTGAAATAACAGTTATTTTATGAGTAAATAATCTATCTATTCTTAATTTTAATTTTTTAGATTTCCTCAGTCAAACAATTTTCCTCCAAATCATCTTGATTCCTCTTTATCCTTACAAATCCTTCAATATCACCTCCATATCTTTTTAATCCCCGATATATCTAATACACAGTATCCATCATAATCCCTACTCTCTTTAATTATCAATATCCCTCTTAATTTTAACTCTATCTTAATACAGTAAGAGCGAGGGAAAAGTTTAATCCCTGGCAGGCTTCGATTTTGCGACCTCTTGGCAGTTATTGCTAGGCGCTTTCGCTCACCACGTACAGGTGCTCTACCAACTGAGCTACCGGAACCAGAGCTGGGCGAAAATGAAATTTTGCGCTCAACGAAACGAAAACGAAAAAAATAAAATCATCAATGTACGAAACGAAAACGAAACGAAAAAAGTCAAAATTATGAATCGTTAAATTTTAGAGCTAGATAATAGTTTTTCGAGGTTGTACATGTCTAACATGTCTTTCTCTTCCTTACAATACTTAGAAATTAAAAGATATCTCGCATGATTTTTCGAAATCCTCCTAATCACTCGAACCCGGTAAAAATTTAAATTATTCAAACTTCTTAATTATTCAACCCGTTAAAAAAAGAATCATTCGACTTCACATTCAATTCCTGAAGTTTTCCTTTCACTTTTATGCAGTTTTCCTTTCATCCAAAGCTCGAGGCAATTGGATTTGCAAGTAAAAAAATTCTCAAATTTCAAAATTGTATTCTTCGAAAAATACAATGGTCCGCTCCAGCTGGGGCCATTCCTTCTAATAAATGCCCTTTGGAAGATGAATTATTTTTGATAGAATGTACTTTTTCCACGTAAAATCTTTAAAAAATTATTTAAAGTTGCAAAAATAAAGAATAATGTGTTGGATGATTTTTATTAAAAATATTTTCAAATAAAAATTGTCTAAAAAATATACATTTTTATTACTTAATTTTACGATTAAAAGTTAAGAAAAATATGTAAATATTTACAGAGAATAGTTTGGTAAAGCCAACAATAAATGTAAAAATTAAAAAAATAAAAAATAAATATTAAAGTTGCGAAAGTAAATCAATATTAAAATTTTGAAATATTAAAAAATTATTTTATTTGTGAAAATATGTGAAAAATTGAAAATGAATTAAAACAAGTAAAAAATTAAATTAAAGCAAATATAGTATGGTATTGGAGTGGAATTTGATGTGCGTATTGAGTGTTATTGGAGACAGAATATTTCCTTTCGGATCTCTTTTTACTTGACCATGTACTAAAATCTTGTGGAAGAATTCAAAGTCTGTTTTGAGTCCCCCAATGGTAGTGAGTCTATTTTAAAAATTTGTACAAGGTTTAGATATTTAGAGGTTGCTTTAATGGGTGTAATAATAAATAATTAGTATTTAATTAGAAAATCTCTGTCAGTTTTGAAAAGCTCGGTAATGGATTTACATTTGGTGACCAATTTATCGTCCCTCACTTTTAAAAATTTTATACAAAATTTATTTTTTAAAATATGTAACACCTAACATTTAAGCAAAAAATAATTATAAATTAAAAATATTGAGAATCCAACACACAAACAAATTTTTATTTTCATTTTTATTTTTTTATTAAAGAAGGAAAGGGCTTTAAAAGAAGTAAAAGACAACACATAATTTTATTAATAAAATTAAAATAAGATTCATATTAAATTAAAAATGTATTTTTATTTAATAAATTTATTTATTTCAATTAAATTAATTAATTCCCAAGATTTATTTACATCTTCTGCAGAATTACAACAATTAGTACATGTAGAAAAGGAAATTCCTAAAATTATAGAAAATTATATTTTATTAGAAAATAAACGTTTGGAAAATTTAAAAAGGTATTTTATAATTAAATTAATATTTAAATTTGTAGAGGTGATATTAATAATCTCTAATTAAGAGTAAAAAGTAGGGTAGTTCCCCGTCTCCCGAACCCAGACCCAAAAGTAAACCCGACCACGAACCCCGACATGCTCTTCCTAGCAACTTTCAACCACGTAAGAACAAGGAGCTACCATAGTAAAAAGCTGTATAATATCTTTAAATGAAGATATAACCTTAATTGAAGGTGATATGTGGGGACTGGGTAGGGAACATGGATGTCACATATTGAGTAAAATGTCGGGTCGAGTTAAGAGTGCAAAATACTTACGTTTGGATTTTCAGAAGGCTCATTGATATAAAGTGATTTGGAAGATGTTGAAGAATTGGGGTATAATGGGGTTTCTTTTTAACTATTCTCTGACCCCCTTAATATCTGCCCCATTTTATAAAAATTAATCTACGAAAAAAGTCAACTCGGGGTTCGGGTGTAGATTTGGAATAGAAAACTTCAAGGGTTAAGTTTCGAGCTGAAAAGGAACAGGTTATAGGATAAGGTAACCTGTGATGGTGAAATTTATGTGATTTTCAATAATAAACATTTTATAAAGAGATAATTAACTAATAAATTTTTAAATAATTTTAGTATTGCAAATAAATATTCAAAAGACAAAAGTGAATTATTTGAATTGGAACCAAAAAGTGTTTTGAATCCTTTAATTGCTCTTAGAGTAATCAAAAAATTAACAAAAACTTGGAAAGAAATTAAGAAAGAAATTCAATCAGATTTGGCTGAAAATTATTTAAAAAATATTTCAAAACAAAGAGAAACTCGTTTTCCTAATGAGGTGGGATTTTTTATAGAGGAAAATCCGTTGAGGGCCAGCCGAATTTAATCGGCTATAACTATAACTTTTTTGCTATAACTTTTTTGGGTCAAATCCCATTTGAATGTTCATTCGAAGCCCTCGATAATTGATATCTTTTTTATGATTGGACAGAGCAAATCTGATCACTCATAAAGTTAGAACGCGATAATTCAAGCGATAATTCAAGCCTTTAACAAGTGATCAGATCTGATTCATCAACTTGTAAAAAAGATACTGTTTATCGAAGGCTTTAGGATGCTATAAAATTCAAATTTAATTTATTAAATTCAAAAAGTTATAGCGGATCAGCATCGGCTGTCACTCAATTCTTAGGTGTTTAACGGATAAGTACCTTTATTTTTCCTGCAATCTCCCTTATATTAAAAAATATTTTTCTAAAAAAGGATGATTTAAATGGAGCAATTCAAGGATTATTTCGTTTACAAGATACTTACCATTTAAAAACTAAAGATTTGGCTAATGGAATTGTTGAGGATGTTAATATAAATAAGCAAATGGATGGTTAGATTTTTTGTTTATTAAATTATATAAAATAATTTAATTTAGCTAAAGATTGTTACGAAATAGGTCTTGCTGCATATAATGATAAGGTTAAAATTTTCATAGCTTTGAAAATCATAAAAATTTCGCTGCGAACTAAAAGGGAGAATTTCTGAGTTAGGAAATTCCTACTGGGTTCGGAAAAATCAACAAAAACTTGCAAATAAAAAAAGTAAGAGGATTTGTTGATTGAAAAGCCACTTAATGTCCAATACCAACAACTGTTTATTGGTCTTCAAAAACAAAACGCCTACGGTGCTAGGATGAGGAATTGTGGACATTTATGGAACTTCTTCTACTGATACCAACCATAATTATTAATTTAGTTTTCGTGCTTTTTTAACATGGAGAATCCTATATTATGTCCACACACCTTGAAGGGTCACGTCCCAAAACCCCAACCCGAAGACTGAAGGTCTATCAGATAAATCCCCTCCCCATTTTCAATTCGATTACTAAGAAATAGGCGCTTAATTTGCAATTTAAATATTAATTAATTTAAAAAGGATTATTATCATTCAATATTATGGATGGAAGAAGCAAATGACCGTTATTATTCACAAAAAGACTTTACACAAAATAAAACTGATATATTAAATATTTTGTCAATTTCTTTATATAAGCAAGGAAATTTGAAGAGAGCTTTAATTATTAATGATAAATTAATTGAATTAGGTAATTGTTAAAAATTAAATTTTTAAAAAAATATTTTCCCTTAAAAGATCCTTTATATCCAAATGCAACAAATAATTCAAAATTAATTGAACAAGAATTACTGGATAATGGAGTTGCTAAAGAAGATTTCCGTATAAATATACCTCCATTAAATATTACAAGAACGAATAATGCTTCTAATTTATTTCCTGCATACCGTAAAGCTTATGAAGAACTCTGTCGTGGTGAAAAAGAAATTGTTTGTTAATTAAAAATGGGGATATCCCTGGATATAGCTCTGGCCCTATATATGAAAGAAAACATTAACATTTTATTATTATTTGTACAATAACGATTAAAAAGAGGCCGGTTATCCGAAATTTCGGTTCCGGATATCCGAAGATTTCCAACTATCTGCCAATCTTATTGTACAAGCTAAATATCTAGAATCTTATTTTAAACATCGGGAACAGGGCTGATCGAAATTTCGTTTCGTTTCGTTTCGCTCTTTCGTGCCCTTTTTTCCATTTCGTTTCGTTTCGGAACGAAACAGAAAAAAATTTATTTCGTTTCGTTTCGAAACGAAATAACCAAAATTCCGGACGAAACGAAACAAAAAAAAAGTGAGAAAATGCACCCCTAATGACGGGAATTTATGGAAAATATCATTACTTTTTTAGTGATTTCTGTCATAAAAACAGCTTAAAATTAAAAAATTTTCAGCGCCGCAGGCGCTGAAAATGGAGGAAATTTGGCTTCTTGAGCTCCAAAATGTAAAAAATTTTGCCTGCGGCGCTAAAAAAATATCCCTCTAGATATACCTCTATATACCTTAGTGGTATACTCCGTAGTGGATTAAGACAGATATATGTTAATTTAAATGGATTAATGGGGATATAGTCTAATCCACTTTAGAATACTACCTGACCTGCCGACTAAAATTTTTATTACATTGTGCGGAGGATTAAAAGAGATCTCGAGGGATTAGTGATATTGCGGGCGATTTGGTAAGATTACGGTGTTATTGTGGTATTGCCGAGATTAAGGAAATATCGGGGAAATATCGTTGGTTTTGAGAGGTGGATATAGAAAATATATAGATGATATCTCAAGTGATATAGAAGATCCCTCTTAATATCCCTCTTGATCGATATCTAAAGTGGTATACTCCAAAGTGAATTTGGATATATCGATGGATTTTAATAGGATATTGGAGGATTATGGCGGATATATGTAGATTTGAGGGGATTAAGGTCGATATCGTCAGATTTGTTGGGCCCACTCTTGTTTATGGTATGCTTTTGTCACGCAACTAGCTCTTGAGGTGCATATTTATGATTTAAATATCGATTAAAAGCTTCTATGAACTGAAAAATAAATATTTTTTAATTTTTATTTTATTTCGTTTATTTCGTTTCGTTTCGTCCGAAACGAAATAGGAATTTTTTTATTTCGTTTCGATTCGAAATAAAAAATATTTTTATTTCGATCAGCCCTGATCGGGAATGTTTTTGCACTAAAGGGAATGAAAAGTTTGGAAGGAACAATAAACTTCCCCAACAAACTTCCTAGCACCCCATTTATGTGCAAATTAACCCATGCAACTGCTTACAAAGCCGAGCAACCATTAACTCCCGTGAGGACGTCAACCATGGATGGACGCAATTCCGTGGATCCGCAATTTCGCGTTCCGCACTCCTATATTTGCGTTGACCCTTTTGAGCTTGCGAATAGGTGGGATGGTTATACGTAAAGCAGATGAGTTCCGATTGAATAATAATGAAATTGAAAAGATTTAATGTTGATATATTTAAGATACTTAGCTGTACATATACAGGAGAGACCCACTAAAATTATTTAAAAAATAAATTTTCCAATTAATTTTCAGAATACAACAGAAATATCCAAGCTTTATTGTTATTACAAAATGGATTGCTCATTCCTTCGTTTAGCCCCAATTAAAGTTGAAATAGTTCGATATGATCCTTTAGCTGTTATATTTCGAAATGTTATTGGTGATGGAGAGATTGAAATAATGCAGAATATAGCGATAAAAAGATTAATGATAGCTAGGGTTCAAAATGCTGCTACGGGAGAAGCAATGCTTTCAAAATATAGAATTAGCAAAAAGTTTGGCTTAAAATATAAATTTATCTTTTAATTAATTTTTAAGTGCCTGGCTTAACGCAAACACCCATCCAGTCGTTAAACAATTATTTGAACGTTTAAAATTAATGACTAATTTAAATATGAAGTCAGCTGAACCTTTTCAAGTAAAATTAATAAATTTGAAAAATTTAATTATAGAAATTAATTTTAAAGATGGGAAATTATGGAATTGGTGGACAATATGAACCTCATTTTGATTTTGCTAGGGTCTGTTTCAATTCTTAGACTTGCTTTAGTTGCTTTATTTTTGGCAAAATTAACGCAAAAATATATGGTAGAAATCTGTCTTCTAGTCTAATAAAATTCTCAAAATTTTCCTCTGCTGCGCTAAAAAATTCTCCAAACCTTTATATCACAAAATAAATACAGTATCGTTAAATTTAGTGCGATAAATTTCTCTTGCTGATGATCTCCATTTTAACTCAAAGTAGGGCCTTAAAGATTCCTAGTTTCAAGACCGTGATAATTAAAAGGAGGATTTAATTGGAACTAGTTTCTGTTTATTTTTATAATAAGGCTGTATGGATTTTTATGAACAAAGAAAATTCGGACATTCCTCTAATTCTGATATTTAATTTAAAAAAATTTTTTGATTTAAAAATATATTTTGTAGGAAAATGAAGCTGTAAATGCAACAAAAGGACATCAAAATATGGGAATTGGGAATAGAATTGCGACAGTTCTTTTATATTTGAGTACCCCAGAAAAGGGTGGATTTACTATCTTTAATCAGATAAAAACAATTGCTAAACCAACAAAGCATGATGCTCTTTTTTGGTATAATTTGTGGAGAAGTGGAAAAGGAGATATAAGAACAATGTTTGGGTTTTTTAAACAAGGGTAGCAACCCGACCCCGATAACCCCGATCGTGACCCCGACAGATTTTTTTGGCTAAAACCCCGACCCGAACCCCGGAGACCCGAACCCCGGAGGGTCTACTCCGACAACCCCGATCCCCGACACACCCGACCCTTCGGGGTCGGGTTGCTACCTTAGTTACAGAGCTGTTTCGAGCTTTCGATTTCCGATTTTCTAAGATTTTTTGTTCGAAACAGCTCTGATAATCTTTTTAGGCATGCAGCTTGTCCCGTTCTGCTTGGTGATAAATGGGTTTCGAATTCTTGGATACACGAAAGAGGACAAGAATTTATTCGCCCTTGCGGTTTAGATCCGTCAATACAAGAACGTTATGTTGGTGATTTGGGTGGTCCGGAACCTAAAAAATATCCGAATATATCTCCATATTGTAAAGAGGGATTATACTGTGAATGAAAATATTTGTGATAATTTTTTAATATTTATTTCTGTTAATCTAAATTATTCTTTCGACTTCTGTAGAACATTAAACATAAATTATTTTCTACTATAAAAATAAAAACTACTATTATTAGTTTTTCGAAGGTGTATTTTAATATGTATGTAAAGCCGTATCCTCAAAAGCCGTATCCTAAAGATCGGATCCTCAAAATTTAAACTCGCAAGTGTCGGGAAGTCCCTTAAACTAGGCCAAAAAATTTAATAAGATGTTTTATTAAGAAAGTTATTTTTAAAATAGCTTAGTAAACTAAATAAAATAAAATAATGATGGATAATAAATGCTTAGAAAAAAGTTTAAAAACAAATTATTTTCTAATAAAATAACAATAAGATGAGAAATGTATTCCACGCATCATAACAAAAATTAACAAATTTTGATGGAAATAAAAGCAAGAGACATAAAATATTTTATCAGAAAATAAAAGTTTCGATTAGAAAATAACTGGGTAGTTTTGAAATTTTTTCCTTTTTTCCTTCTCAAAAAGCGCATAATGGTCAGAGTTCCTATGCCGTCCATTTTTTAGGAATTCTCAAATCTGATAAAAAGAACATTTTAATCCAGTGAATATTACTTTAAGTCCAATTTATTAACAGGCTTGATTTCAGTGAAGTAGTCCATGATTCTAAAAGCCTTTCATTTATAATTTTGTCATTTACGTTTATTCTCGAATAATTACCCTGGGTAATCGCTGGAGAGGGTAATTAATAGGGAGGGACATTTTTAAATCTCATGGAAGTCTTGACATTTAAAAATGCCTGAACATTATGCAGTATTTTGAGAAGGAATGAAATTCAAAATACCGTATTTACTCGATTAATTCCCCACCCTCGAATAATTCCCCATGCCAGGGATAAGTTGAAAAAATAATTCCTCGGGGGAATTAATCGAGTAAATACGGTAACCATTATCTTTAAAGATGTTCAATCACAACTTACATTTTTTGTTTACTATTATTCCTTTTTTAATAATTATTTCCTCAATCCATGGATGGGAGTTAGACGAGCCATTTATAGGCTCATTGAGTTTTTATAGTGATCTACTATATGGTTGGTGTGTAACAAAACCGACTGATTCAGAACATGATTTGTTAGTTGCTGTTAGCACGACACTATTTAAAACAGGAATATTTCCAAGTCAAGATCCACTTTGCCATGTTTGTCTTAAAGTTGATTACAACGGAAAATGGTAGAAATTCTTAATTTTTGTTCTAAATTTTAATTTTAAGTATCACAGTCCCTGTCAGAGATATCTGCTATCCAAATGAATGTTCTGCAACAGACGCTAAATTGTCACAGCCTGCGTTTGAGAAGCTCGAAAGTTTGTCAGTTGGAAGCGTTCAAAATGCTACATTAACATTTGTCAAATGTGATGGTGTGACAGATGGAAACGAGAAAAAAGTATAAATATAAGTAATTGAAGATGAATATGAAGAATAAAAATTAAATTGATAAAAGATGACAAATCACAGATAAAAAATCACAACAACCACAAAAAATATCAAAATAAACTTAAATTTCATAAAAATATTTCCTAATAAAACAATTCTCTATTATTATTTTTAGAATAAATTCATCGAAGAAAAAATCTAAAAAATTGTTTGATTGAGGAAATTATTTTTAAATTATAGCTTAGTAAACTTCAAATAAAAAGCAATAAGTAACTGTTTAAAAAGAAAAATTAAAAATAAAAATTAAAAAAAATATATTATTGACTCCTAAAATAACAATAAGATGATAAATTATTCCACGAAGCATGTCAACAATCTCCATTCAAAATTAAC